TGACCAACCTCCTGCAAAACATTTGTCTCCCCTCTAGCGCAGGTGCTGGCACCAAGGAGCACAGCAGCTCCCCGGGACAGCCCCAAGCTTGGGGTGATGAGGTGGACCAGCAGCCCCCAGCCAGGAGCATCCTTGCACCCTTCACTCACAGGGCTGACAAGGGAAGGGAGGGTCCTCAGGACACCTACAGCCCTGGGAGCTTGTGCAGGATCCCGAGCATGGTTCTGTACATGCAAGGAATTGCAGAGGTGGCGAAGGACCACCATGGCAGAAATCAGGGCCCAGCCCTGCGAGCTCCTGGAGGCAAGGTCTGTGCTCAGGTCTTCTTCTGCGGGAGCAGCAAGGAAATGTTTGTGGTGTGTGCAGCCGAGCACGGAGAGTATTTAGGCACCCAGCAGGGTCTCAGGCGTTGCTAATGGGCTCCCAGCAAGGGGGATGTCTGCCAGGATGATGGCTAACACCTAGCGAAAGCTCCTTGCTGGGCAAGATCCCAGCTTGAGGCCGAGGCACCACAGGCCAGATTGCTGTGCAAATCCATTCCCCGCAGGTGTCAGCGAGCAAGGAGCAGTATGGGAAGATGGCAACTCTGCAGGCCATGTCTACCAGGCTCCAGGACCCCCTCGCCACCCCTTGCAGAGTACCTGGGACATCCAGGTCATCCCCATTTCTCTCACTGTCTCCATCCTCCTGCCCATCTGCGTTCTGCTGGGTGTGCTGCAGGCTCAGCTTGTGGCAGACCTCGAACGCCTGCCCCACTGTCCGGACGATGCGCATGGCTTGGCTCTGCAGCAGATGAGGAGAAGAGGGGAGGAATATAACACTCAGCTGGGCTGCCCCTGCCTGGTGACCTCCCCAGCCTGGTGCAGCTCTCGAGGGTCTCTGTGTGCTGCCAGAGGGACTGAGGCACCAGATCTAAGGTCATCGAGGTGCCAGCTGCAGTGCAGTGCCATGGGGTCCTGCCCCAGCCACTCCACTGAGACCTCACGATGGCAGGATGTGCATCCCTGCACCTTTACCTTCTTCTTGGATTTAAAGACGTTGCACCTGAAGACATTGCTAGATCCATCCCTGGCAATATAGCTGAAGATCTTTAGGTCCTGGGAGTCATGAGACACATAGAATATCCTGCAAAGTCAGAAAGGAGGGGAGGATATTGTCTACAACATACACACTAACCCACAGCGTCCAAGACACAGGCAAGGCCAGTGCTTCCCAGGGCACGTCCCGGGCTGCTGGCAGATGCCCAACCTCTGCAGCACATCCCTGCTAAAGGCCATCAGAATTTTTTTGGCAGTAGGTTTGCCTTGGCTAGGAAAACCAGCCTGCTGACTCAGCAGCAGCAAGGATTTTGCGAAGGCAGCACGGGGCATTCTCTGCTCAGCCCCCAGGGACAGAGCTGGTGGCCCCAGAGCCCTTCAGGCACCCACTCCTCTGTCTTGCCTGCTTGAAGAGCTGACCTTCTCACTCGGGTGCCTGCCACCCTCTCCCCAGCATGGCTGGGACCGTCCCTCGCTCCCATTCAGCTTCCCCGGCACACAGACATCCCACGGGAACTTCTGGAGAGCACAGCAAGTGAGGGGAGCTGCCCTCCACAGAGAGGGTGATGGCTTTTCATGGTCAGTCCCCAGCACGGTGTCAGTGTGGAGTGGGGCATGGCAGAGCCACCCAAGTCTCCATCCCCTCAGCGAGCAGGCTTACCTGTAGATGGGATCATGCATGACGAGCATTTTGTTCTCATCCCAGGCCCATTCTTTTTTCTGCAATGAAAGAAGCTGAAAATGAGTACGTCAGATGCTGCCCTTGAGATCAAGGACAGGGCACAGACAGTCCAGGGACAGATCTGGGAAGCTCTTGTCACAACTTTGCTGCAGCTCCTGTGCAAGCCTTCACTGAAGGCCAGGTCCTGCTGGAGACCAGCAATGTCCCACACCACTGCCCCTGAGGCCACCCGAGCCGCTTCTACACACCCACATCCTCAGCCCATCCCTCCCTCTCGCAGCCCACCCAAGCTTCCCAGAAATTCAAGGATGCTGCAGGTCCTTGCTGCCAAAGGCACCACTGCTGCACAGACCAGGGCTACCTACCTTCTTCTTCTTCTTCAGAATGACCTTCACACCGTCCACTGACACGATGAGACTCACTTTCTTCTTCTTGATATTCTTGGCTTTAAACTCATACTGCAGGGGATGGAAGAAAACAGCTCCATTAGCCTTCCTGCTCTAGGAAAGCCAAGGCTCAAGAGGGACAGGGTCAGGCTACCCAACTCCACAAGCCTGTGCATCCCTGCCAGGAGAGGACAGGGGGTCTTTTTGTCTCGCAGTGTCCCTGTGTCCAGCACCCAGAGGAGCACACCCTGAGGCAATCCTGCCCCTGGAGGTGGATAATGCTTTGCTTGGCCCAGGATGCTGCTGGAAATGCTAACTTCTGTTTCAGAAGCACTCATTCTGCTCCTTCAAAGGGCTGTACCTCCCTGGAGAGGGACCACCACCTTCACAGCCCTCCCAGGGCTCAGCAGCCTGGCCGGGTTTGACCTGTTGGATTGTGACCGTTGCTGAGTTCTGGTAAGGGAAAATGCATTTTAAGCGGGGTTTTTTGGGGGCTCAGTCTAAAACTGAAGATGATTGCTGAGGACTCCGTGAACCTCTCCAGCGGAGATGGGATAATGCAATTACCCATTTCAATCAGAAATCACTGGACAGGATAAAAACCCAACAGGAACTTCCAAAGATCAGTGACTAAACACAAAAGCTCTGGTCTGGCCCAGGGAGAGAATGAGATCCTCCTGAATCTGGCTGCTTTTGCACTTAGATCCTCACAAGTGGGGAGGGGGCTTGCAAGAGAAGAGGCTGGATGAGCCATTTAGGCTGAGCAACCTCCTGCTATGGGAATTCTGGGGAGTCCTGCAACTGGTCTAACATGGGTGCACCCCCGTCGGGTGCCCGGTGTGCTGGCCCCACACGCAGGGTGCTGTGCACTGCCGTGGGGATGGATCCTCTGCGACAGGCGAAGCCCCGCATCCTGCACTGCGCGCAATCAAGGACGAGGAATTTAATTAATGGGCTCATTATTTCTCCATTCTCTCTGCAGAGAGAGCACAGAGCAGGCACCCCGATGCAAAGCCCTGCCTCCCGTCCACGCCGAGCCTCCGTGTGACATTTCCAGCCCTGCGTGATGTATTAACTTTGGCAGCCGGAGCCAGCAGGCAGGAAAAGCTGCTGGCCCTGACCTGTGATCGAATGATAGAAGACCTGAAAATAAAATTCCTCAAAGCCATTTTAAAGTCGCCGATGGGAAGAGGAGATACAGACGACTGAAAAAACAGTGGTGAGGCCGGGGAAGACAGCTCTGCCCTCCCCAGTGCACAGACCAGGCAAGCTGTGCAAGCCCACCTGCTCCAGGGCTGAAGCCACGGTGATGGGCTGGAGAAAGCAGAGCTCAGACTCTCACCATAACCATAGCCAGCCTGAAAAGAATACCCAGCACATCCCCATACGCTCCTTGCAGGGCTTATTCCTCAGGGAGAAGCGTCTCACCAGAGTTCTTCACCAAATTGCCCACTGGGGTGAGTTTCCAAGTCCCATGTCTCGTATTCCCCTTCCTCATCATTACAAGCAGTAGTGAAACTGTGCCCAAGAGCCCCCCCTCTCTGTGTCTTGCAGGACACCAGACCAGTACCAAAATCACATCTGATACCTAACACTAAATAAGGGTGAGCTGCAGCCCAGCTGCCTTGGAGTAATTAACTCAGAACCTTCTGAAGCTCTGGATGCCATTTTTCCAGGAGCCGTGGGCTGAGCTGGATGCACCCAGACTGACTGCACAGCACCTTGTCGAGCTGCAGCCTGATTTATTAGTCTTAACGATCACTGATTATCAACATCAAGTCGCATTTCTGAGCCGCTGGACCCGTAGGTTTTCTATCCTGGGCCATCCCAAGTGCTAATTAATGTGGGCTTGGAAGGACAGCAACCCTGAAAAACACCTCAGGGTTAGAAATACTATTTTTAACTCAGCTTTTGGGTGAGTAACAGCCCCAGGACAGCAACGCTGACAGGCCAGGACATTTCAGCAAAGATGCTACCCAGCCCTGGCACATTTCAGGAACAGATTAAATGCAGAGCTCCTTGGAGAGGCTTCTGCAATCCCGGGCTGCAGGCAAAGGACTTTGCCTGGGCTCGCCCCACGCCTGGCTGAGGGGAGTGCCATGGGGAAAGCTGTTTTGCCACTGCCACGCCGAAGCCAAAGTCCCCTCATGCTGATGGCTCATGGCAAAACTCCAGCAAGAACTGACGGGAGCAAAGAAGTCAAATTCTCAGAAGGGCCGACCAGCCAGATCTGTTAAGTCCTTGCATAAATCCAAGCCTTTATCCTGACGCCAAGGCGAAAGCCAAGCTCCTTTGCAAATCCATTCCATGTGCTTAGAGAGCTATTGCACTCCCTGCCCCAACCAGAGCTCGTTAGTGCAATCACTCCAACGAGTCCAGATGCTCTTTGGGATACATTTCCCATACAACAAAGTGCAGCTCTAGCCAATAAAACGCTAATGAACTCATGCCCACTGGGGCTCTAATGAAACACTAACCATAATTTAATAACAAATTAGCGTGGAAGAGGATTCAATAAAACAGCAATTCCAACAAGCTGCTTCTCGCATCCCTGGGCTGCGTGGTGCAGGCACACCGAGACCCATGGGCCAGGAGATGCATTGCTGATTTTGGGGGCACATAGCTCTCTGCAGAGCCTGGCAGAGCCATAAACACTGTCAGTGTGCTGCTACCCCCTGCTCCCAGCAACAGCTTACGACGTGCTCTGCCTTGCTCTCAAGGCTAATTCAGCAAACCAGAGGGATTTCACCCCAAGCAGTAGCTCTGGCTAGGAAGGAAACCTAGGAAGGAAATGGTTTCAAAGGAAACCATTAGGTTTGTGCAGTTCCTCTAAGCGAGATTTGAGCCACAGAGAATGTAAGGGATGAACCCAGAACTGTGCAGGGCAGAATCTGGGCTCAGACCCGCCGGCTCGTGGTGCAGTGGTTCATGTTAGCAGTGACAGCAGCTGCCACGACCAGCCCCGCTCAGTGCTCTGCCCTACTGGAAAGCTGCTCACTGGCTAGGTCAGGAGAAATGCACATCTCACCACAAGTCCTTGCACACCCCAGCAAGCTCCTGTAGCTCCCAGGAAGGCAGTGGCTGATGGTCACAGTCAGCATGAGGCTCCAGCTCATGCGCACTTCTTAGGGCTGGGCTGAGTGCCCTCTATGCACCCTGGCTCTTCCTAGCCAGGGAGGTGTATCTGGTCCCATGCTGCCTCCTTGGACTTCTCCAAAGTAGTGGCAAATCCTCTCCATCAGCAGACTACACGTGCCAGTGTGGGCTTTTTGTTCCTGAAGACTGCTCACTCACCGACGTGCTGCACGTTGACAGGACCTGCCCTTGCTAACACCTGCTCTGAAGTCCATTTATTTAATGGGGCCACAGAAAACCTCTCTCTGTATGTCTGATCAGGACCTCCTTGGCTTGGAGCTATTTTTGCCCATCTCGAGTATGATTCTGGATATTTAAGTATCTGCAATAACACTACAAGCTTGGGTTAATTATATCAATTATTTGCTATAGCACTGTAGCAATCCCAGAAGATAGACAAGAAATACTTCCAGGGAAATGGACAGAAAATGGAAAGAGAAACAGAGAAACCTGCCCGTTCCTGGACTTGCACAGCTCCACAGTCAGTCTCCAACTCAAGGTCTAAGCACTTCACTAAGATTTTTAAACAAAGACTGAATATGGACATTTCAGAAATAAAAGTATTCAAGAAAAAAACCCAACCAAACAACAAAGGTGGCCTTACTAATGAGAAAGGAGTATTAGACCACTTGTAAACGCCAACCAGCTAATGAGTTAATAAAGATTGTCCCTTAATTTTACACCGCTCACAAAAAATATGTTAATCATCGCAATTAGAAAAGAAATATCTATTTTGTCAGAGCACGAGAGCCTCCTCATTGACCTTAGGTTAGTGAGAGTCAACTTTCAACATCTGTCTTTTATGCAGAGTTCACTGTTTAAATAACTTTAGACAGAAAATAATGCCAGCTGGTGTGTGGATCATTGTGCAACACATTCCTACTGGCAGAATATTAAAATTGCCCTTTCTGGAGAACAGAGTAACATATGTTGCTTAATAGAGAGCGCATGTAACCTTGTCAGCTTAGAGTAAAACTATATATGAATCTGAGTGTGATGGGTATGTGTGAAAAGCATGGAAAACTCAGCATCCCTAGAAACACATTATCCAGCCCTGCTGCACTGTTTCTACGCAGTAAAAGCGTAAGAACACTTGTAAGCACACGCTGCACGCGAGGTTAGCCCGATCAGACACTGAGAGATAACATCTTTCTAGATTAATCATCCCCCTCAATGACAAACATATGACAAACATTAACCTGAATAAAAATGCCCTTATTTCACCCCAGCCCATCTAAACTGAGGCAGGTACAGATCTGCATCTGCCCACCGGCACTCTCCATCACAAAAGGAAGGTACCAGGAACGCTGTACGGTCAGATTGTGCTGGCGGAACACAATCAAACAGAAAACGGTTTAGTGGAAGTTCCCCTAAATGCACTGAGTTGAACCTGTCCCCTTCCATCCCTAAGTTTACAAGCTTGCACTGGGGAAAGAGCAGCGGTCTGAGAATTCAATTAACAGGGAAGAAGCAATTTCCACAAAACTCGTTGCTACTCTGCTAGCTCGAGAGGCAGGGGAAAAAAATCTGCTATAAGAAAAAGCATAGAATGTGATGTATGTTTTGGCAGAAAACTCTATTTCTTTGTGTTTGTACGGAAAGGGCATCAAACTCTGAGCAAAGTCAAGATCCGGTTGGACTTGATGATCTCAAAAGTCTTTTCCAGCCATCATGACTCTATCATCCTACGGACGCACCTTTGCTGAACGCCAAGAGCCAGCTGGCAAGGACCCTGTAACAAGAGCAGCCCCAGCTCTGACCTCTGCCTGCACGATCTCTCCCACGGCCCCTGCAGCTCACTTTATCCCGGGGATGACAGGACAGCATGGCAGGGGGAGGCCCTCAGAAAGCCAGTGCCCACCTCCCGCGGCACCCCACGGCAGCTCCTCCTGCCAGCTGGCCGGCGCGGCAGCTAATAAAATACCTTTAGAGTTAGA